ACATCCTCCAGAGCCGACTCAGAGGGCCCCTCACTGTCGGAGTCTGGTGGCAGCTCCAACGTCTCCTGCTGGGCCACAACAGATAACTAATAGCAATTGAAGGTGTATTTCCTTATCCCAAAAGTGTCAGCACTGTAGTACTTCGCCTTTAATTATTCTGTATATAAGTTCCACATGCAAAACCATATGCATGTGAAGTGGAGAGTATATCATTAGAATGGCAACTAAAATGCAATGCAGAAAAGGAGTAGGTAAGGAGGGAAATGGGAATATACCACATACCCTAATTATCGATAGACCAAAGTGAACTTAATATTGTTAAATTGTTAAAGTCATCATAGCTTTCACATGATGTCTATTAGATCAGAAGTTCCCAACCCATGGGCCACGAGGGATTTGCAGTGGTAATTCTTTTCTATCTTGGCTGTTATTCCATTTAATTATTCACAATGAGATATTGTCTTCTCACCTTATTTAGGTTTGAAATTGAACTGCAACCGACAGGAAAAGTAAAGGAGTACATTGCAAGTGCTAACTATGAACTAAACAAAGAGGGCAAAGACTTGGTGGACACTTTAAAATTCATTGCTCAAGCCAAAGGTAAGAAACTGTGCAATTTGTTGTGCAGTAATGGGAAATCTTTCCGTAATTTGCTTAATAGTAAATCTCTTCTCTGACTAAAACTAGTACAAAATCACCAGGTTCCTGCCAACAGGTCTTGGAAGGTCAGGATGCAGGAAATTTTTAGCAATTTTAATGAAATCAACACAAATCCAACATCTATCAACAATGACATACTGAGGGAAAGCTTTCCAAACAAAGATTTGAAGTATTTAATATTTGAACTGAACAACATTTTCAACTGCATTGATGTTGACCATTTATTTTAATGGACCACCCACATTTGTAATCATCAATTATAATTATATGTTTCAGGTGTAAAAGAAAGTGAAGCCAAAATCATCTTTACATTCAATCGAGGCAGAAAAATCTTTACCAGTGACTTCCAGGCCCCCGGTTTCAACATCGATTTTGGCACCAACCTTAAGATTACCGATTCCTCCAATCAAGGAAAGAAAGTAGTTGCCTTTATCTTAGACATAATCAACAAGAAAAGTCCTGAAATTACCATCACAGGAAGCCTAAGGTAATGATGCCTTCCCCCTCCCTAATTCTTATAGACATCCCAAGGCTGATAGTATTGAAATAGGCCTGGATTTCTTAACTCATGCTGTAAAGATCCTGTTGACTGCTTACAAGGGTGGGAGAAGAATAACTATGGTCAATTCCACTTGGCATAATCTCCAATGAATTTCAAGTGATTTGGAGTCAGTTTACAGTTGCCTTAACTTTGTGTGACTAGGCAGTGCTTCCTCCAATTGAACTCATAAGAGAATGCCAGCATCATCGATCAGGGTGCTATCACCCCAAACTATGGCAGCAAGAATTCTATCACCCACATTCCACATAGAAAAGGGGAAAAAATAACTTTGCTCTCAGTGCCAATCCTTATTTCCAATACTTTTCTTCTTCATTTTTTCTGATCATTTTGAAAGAGTTACAAAATGTATGATGGTGGTGTTATAAATTTTGCTTTTGTGAAGATAATTTGCAGTGTTGTCTGAATACTTTTTCTAACAGAGAGAGAGAAAGAGAAAGAGAGAAAGAGAGAAAGAGAGAAAGAGAGAAAGAGAGAGAGAGAGAGAGAGAGAGNTTCCTCTTTCCTCAAGAAAAAATATCCTGGCAGAAGCTGGGACAAGTAACAGGAGCTCACCCTGTTATGCGGCACTAGGGATTTGAACTGCCAAACTGCCAACCTTTTGATCAACAAGCTCAGTGTCTTAGCCACTGAGCCACCACATCCCTATCTTGTTTTAATTAGTGAACACCTCAATGACCATCTGAATGGAAACAGTAATTGAACCATTTAATTAAGAAAAATCTTTACATTTTAAAACTAATTGCTATCCAGAAATAAATGCTGTACAAATCTCTGAAATAAATAAAAGTACTAGTAATATATTCTCTTCTAAGAAAAACCCAATAGTCTGAAAGACTCATGGCTATCTCTTCGGAAAGGACACCTAACTGTCCTTTGGAGTTGCTTCTTTAAAGGTTAGGCATACAAATAATTTAAATGCTGTTTGGTAATCAGTGAGGGGCATAGCCAGCAATTAGCATGTAACCTAAAATTTAGAGGGAGGATCAATAGATCAATAGATCAATACATGAATGCATTGATGCATGACTTCATGGACAGATGATTAGTTGGTCTGGTTAAGCTGACAGGCAGATGATTACATCATAATCCATAAGGATTCATTTACAAATTGTTTGGCCTTAGATTGGTTTAATCAGGCTCCAAGACTACAGCAAACCCTTTTTGGAATTAATTATGAACTCCAAGGGATATGCCAGAAACGTAAGAGTCTACTGCTTTGAATGTGCTGATTCTTTTGATTATAATTAGAACAACCAATAAAACTTTTATTAGTATTAACCCACACACACATCCACATACCCAGGGAAATGCCCTGAGGAGCTGCTGTTGCTTCCCATAAAAAAAGCCTATCTTCTCCAGCATAAGGACTGCCAGATATTTTAAATTATAATTCCCAAGCTGTCCTAAATATGCATCGGGTTAACTAAACTAAATTGTAGTTAATTTGTAGAGATCTGACAAAAGGCTGAAAAAGTATTGGAGACAATATTGGCTCCATGGATCCAAACCATTCCAAAATGGTAACTTTGAATCCTCAAAACTGAATTAAAGCCAGATTTAATTAACCATTGTGTTGCTAATTTAACAACAATTATTCACTTAATGACTGTGGCAAGAAAGGTCATAAAATGGGGCAAAACTCACTTAAAATGGTCTTGTTTAGCAATGGAAATTTGGGGCTCAATGGTGATCATAAGTCAAGGATTACTATAATAGTAAGTTTAGACTACAGCTGAGGAGTCCCAGGTTCACATCCACCTTCAATCTTGGAAGTTTGCTGAGTGATCTCAAAGTAGTCACAATCTCACTGCCAGGATATTTTTTCTTGAGGAAAGAGGAAAAGGGTGTGCTGGAGATCCAACCGAAGCATTGTCTCAAAGATGCTTTTTTTAAAGGCTACTGGAATTTCTTTGATTTTGCTTGAAGATGTTTCACTTCTCATCCAAGAAGCTTCTTCATTTCTGTCTGAATGATGGAGAATGGTAGTCTCTATGGAGATTCTTTGTTTGGTTTTCTTTTCCCCCAAACAACCACTTCATAAATCCATGGCATAACAAACCCATCAGCACAAGATTCAGCAG